GTCAACAAAGTATGTCAAAGCATAAATCTCGGTATATGAAACGGAGAACCACCCCATTCTATCACAACGTAAGAAAATGGACTGCAAAACAAACGTCGAATACAAAATTCCACCTGCTAAAATTAAAACCAAATTGCTCATTCAGAGCATCTGCTCTTCCATTAGAAGCGTCACTCAGACCGTCAACGGCAGAAAGACACCTCACCTTATTTCTTTACGAGCAAAATTTAATTTCCTGAGCGTCTCTTCTTGTAAACGCAAAGTGAAAACATTAGCACCTTAGGGTGGGCATGGACATTTTTTAATGCAAAGTGTCAAAAACAATGTTGTGTAATAAAACTCCGTAAATGGGATTATTAAGATTAAGGTTTTTTTAAAAGATTTTGCGCTTAATATACCTACGTAAATCTAAAACGCATTATATCAGCTAATTAGAACGTCTATTGTATATGTAATTATCAAACACAACTTTTTATAATAATCATTCTTATATATTTTTTATTTGCAGGTATGGGAAATTCATTACCTACACAAGTAACCAATAAATGGTATGTATAGTTAGTCGGTAGGTTTACTGGATATCGTGTCGTCCAACCCTATATCAATAAATTACACACGATTTTATTGGTTACGGAAATTAACAGTTAGTTTAATACGAGTAAGGATTGTGTCTATTTATTTTTTCCACTGCATTGAGTGTAAGTTTGACTTAAACGTTACAAATAAAAATTAATAGAACCGTATTCCTACATATACAGAGCGATCATTAATCATTGCCTGTACCGCTCTTATAAAACATGACATTTGCCGCAACACAAATGATACTGTAGCTATACTAAACATAGCCCTGGATTCTGGATTACGATAGGAGGGTGAACATGGTCCACGCGTACATAGGCCTCACATTCGGGCCCTTTGTACTACCTCCCTAACTAGGGTCGCCCGACCCCTCAACTTCACTCAAGCCATCCTACACGTGAGATGAACCTTAGGACGCTGGAAGGGGAGGCGGCTCTAATCGTAGCCATGTCCGGCCAGGATTCCCCCAACATGGATCGTCTCAGTTGGACTAGAGCGGGACATTCACAGAGTATGTGGTGTGCCGTCTCGTCGTCTGTGTAACATAGCCCTAAAACGATTATTAAAAGCAATCATGTAATAGTTATTTATTAGTTTCCAAATTATTTGAAATTACATAGCAAACATTAGTTTGTAACTGAAACGTGATTTACTTTCTTCTACGAATAGAATAATGAGCAACAGTTGCCAATTACAATAAATGTTTGAAGTGGTCACTCCCGTTAAGGAGACACAAATCCCCTCCCTTCTTCATGTTTTCGAAATTTGCGGTTGTGTTATGTTCATATGAAAAGTCGCTTGCATAGCTGCACTTCAATGGTGTGTAAACGATTTCTATAAATATCGTTTTTTAGATGACCAAATAAAAAGTAATCCAAGGGCGTTAGATCAGGTTTCTTCCAACAATTTAGTCATCAGAATATTGTTGTAAGAATGTTATTAAACCTTCTTGCAATTCGTCGTCGTGAAGTTCACCAATAAACACTTGTAACATTTCATGGTACTAACGTTCGACATTAACATTATTGTCAAAGAATATCGGCCCCACAATTCGCCTTCTCGACATCGCTCACCACACGTTTACTTTCAGAGAATGAAGCGGAGCGGAGCTTCAATATAAACCGGCGGATTTTCAGCACTCCAAGATCGGTAGTTTTGGGAACTTGTTCAAGACGAGCACGTACATCTTCTACCATCGCCTCGTTAGCAACTGTTTAGCAACCTGGGGATTTTTCATAAGCAACATTTCCTGTATCGTCAAATCGCTTAACTACACAAATAATGTGGTGGCGTAGGTTCTCGCAATCAACCACATGTCGCGGATATTCCTCCATGCACAGGAGAGTCGAATACATACAAAGTCCGTTTCCATATTTTACTTCCATTACGGAAATAGGACTGCAAAGGCTATTCCGTTCTTTCCTACTTACTACTATGGGCCTAGAAAAACTATACACAAAGCAACGGTTAGCTAATATCGGTATAATAACACAGTTAGTCTGAAAGATACAATGTATTCGAACTAAGAGGAATGAATTCTCGAAGTAACAAAAGTAATCTTCTACAAAATCGGGTCTCGGAAGGAACAAATCGGTACATCTTCAAGTGCAAACTTGAAGCCGGTGGTAATGCTGGTAGAATGAAGTAGATTCACATGGTTAATTTAGGTAGAATTTTCCAAGTCGGTAATGTAGAAACTCTTCCATGGCGTAACTCGCTGATAGCAATCCTAATAAAATGTCGGGTCCAAGTGAAAGTGAGATGTCACACACGTATTGCGTAGGTAGCGCGTAATATCCAGATGCACCATAACGAAAAAGGTAATTTAAAAGAAAAACTTAAGAGAAACAATGAGAAGACTGTGAGGGAAGGTAAACTTGAGGGTTGATGGAAAGGTACAGCCCTAAAAAGTATACGTATTAAGAAAAGAATGCTGCGTAATCGTCATATCTCGTACTATTTATATGCAAATACAGATCCGTAAAAACGATTCAATGTAGTACACCCACATACATCAGAAGAAAGAGAAACCACTCAAAGATAAATGTAACAGCGAAAACACTAATCCCCTACAGTAATACGAAAGTCAGTAAAAGTAATGGCATCCCAAAGGGGGGAAATGAAATACAACTGCACGCAATACTAAATTAACGAAGGGATAGAATTAAGTGCAAGGTACAAAGCGGGAACTCAAGCGACAAGGCAAACCAGTATTGTAAAAGAAACTTCGAACACTCGGATAGCCTCTAACGGCAAACTAAAGAACTACTGTAATTAGAAAGCTATAACACTTGGAACAAATTTACAACAGGAACCACTTACATCTAAACCAGTGGACAAAAGGCCATGCCTAGGTGGAGTAAGTAATTTTGAATTTAAATTACGAGCAAAAAGAATTTAAATAAGAGTACGAAGCGAAGGTTACTTAAATGGTATTTAAATCAAGAATTTCAATCGGTAAGAAAATAACGTTACAAAGTCTTAACGTGTCCATTAGCCTTCATGTGATTCCAATACACCCTCCGTTTTTTTCATCGGTCAAGGTGACGGTTGAGTAGAAACCCATCCGTTCGTGCATCTGTGTCGGGCCGATTTCTTTACGGACGTCAATAAGTGTGAATTCTCAAATATAACTTAGTGTGTTTCTGCAGTATCCATAGTAATTTCACCGGTCCATCAGTTTACCGGTCGGTAAAAAATCGGATGTGAAAGAGCTCTTAGGTATGGGAACATGTTATATCCATCAAAAAGTCATACAAGTAACAAGAGTAAACACTGAAAAATCACGTACGCGTTTTTAGAAATCGCAGAATCTCAGACTCGTATCACAACTACCATTAATCGGGGTGCTCATTAATCGCCCTGTATATTATTTGCATCCCCATTGTTGACTAGCACTAGAGTTCTGATTAAAAATTAATAGCATCACGTATAATATGCTAACGAGTCGTATTCTGTTGATTCACAGAAAGGAAGACAAATATACAGCTATAGAGCTTGTAGAATCTCAACCTTTATAAAAATTATATTATTATTTAAGACCTGGGAATGTATTGGTGCAGTAATAAGTTTGAAATATGATTTCAGTCGATTAATTAGTGCTGCTGTTTTAAGCACTACTAACAAAGGTCGTTAAGTGAGTAGTATCTTTTCATCATCAGAACTTTACGTTTTTAAATTATCAAAAATTAATATTTTTGTAAATTCACGGAAGCGTTGTTCATCGATATTCATAACAGTCACATATTTCGTTAAATACGAGCGTTTGTGCTAGCTTTCATGATTCACGCGTCAACAGACAGCTTTTTGTCCTTTCTACCTTCATTTTACCTACACGATACAAAACATTCATCCATTTAGTAAACTGCGCACATCATATGCATGACAATGCGGAATTATAAATTACGTTCGAATTAAACTATGTAATTGCAAAACCAGGGAACACATTCGTTATCCGTTTGCGTTTTGCTTGCCACCCGATTTATTCGCTTTCGAACGTCACCTAAAATGATGTTTGATTGGTTTTGTTTGTGACTGCTATTGTTGTTTTGAATTATGCAAACTTATGTAAAAAATAAACGTGTAAATTGTAAAAATATTCGTTTCCTCCCCCAATTTGTGTTTAAATGAAGATTAGGTTGTAATGGAATATATAATTTAGTTGGATAAGTGATAAATAAACCGAATGAATTTAAAATTTACCATTGTCTCAAACTAGCAAAAGTAATAATATTGCAAGTAATTTACACATTAAATTTGGATAAGTTGTACGAAATATGTATAACTAATACAAATTGAATGTGTTACCTACTTGACAATAAAATTATTGAAGCATTGAAAACAGCCTTAAAATACAAAACTAGGAATATCTCTATCATAACTGATTGGCTTAGTATTTTACAAACCCTCAAAAAGTCTTTCGATAAAAACTAGCCCTTACATACTCAGGGGCGGACTGGCCCGGGGGGTGGGGGGCGAGTGGCGATTACCACCTAGCCTGTAGGTCATAATGTCCCGCTGGAAATTTATAAGGATGTACTGTATTAGCCTATTAGCATTAATGTAAGTTTCTTGCACTATCAATAAATTATTAACACGTTTCTCTCATTGGGGTTTAAGTTACAGGTTGATAATTTATAAAATTCTGTGTTTATGTAAGTGTTTTACAAATGAATTTATCATTTTTGGTCGTATTTTGTGCTGAAACACAGTTATAGGCATAGGGGTATTACTGCAAATGAAGCAGTAGATCCACAAAAAATGCAACTTGTTTAGAATCCAACATCAGTAGAATGCCACCATTAGATCATATTGCAGCAATCAGGAAAAATATAATAATAATAATAATAATGATATAAAAATCTGTGATTAAAAAAAAAAAAAATCTCTTGTTTTGTATTTTATTTTATGTGTTTGTGAGCATTTTAGTGATTATTATTAACATCTGTGATATTTTTGTTATATAAACTATCTTAACAATGGATAATAACAAAATCATACAATGGAACTGCAGAGGTATAATAACTCGCTACTGTGATCTCAAAATGCTATTGCACGAACATAACCCGATGTGTTTTTGCGTTCAAGAAACCCATCTCGGTCACAATCAGCCCTATACGTTGAATGGTTTCAAAGTAGAACGGCGAGATGGTATTAATGAACAAAGAAGTAGTGGGGGAGTGTTAATACTCTTACGCAACAATGTTATATATGAAAATGTTCAACTTAATACAAGTCTTCAGGCTGTTGCTGTAAAGTTAATTCTACCATGGCGAATAACTATTTGTAATGTTTATCTACCGGATGCTAATTGGACAATTGAAGAATTCAACCAGCTAGTGAATCAACTACTAAAACCTTTTATGATTACGGGAGACTTCAATGCCCATAACCCGATGTGGGGATCCGAATATACGAGTAGTAAAGGGCGAATTCTGGAAGGTTGGATAACTAGAAATGATGTGATTATACTCAACACTGGGTCACCTACACATCACATTGCTAGGTCAAATAACTTTTCGGCGATTGACCTTACTCTAGTCACTACCAGTCTAAGTCCTCATCTCAAGTGGGAGGTAATAAGCGATCTACATAATAGCGACCATTTCCCGATTCTAATTCAAACGGATGTTCCGGAAATGGAAAAGACTACATATAAGAAATGGATAATGAGTAGGGCAAACTGGAACCTATTCTCCAGTCGTCTTGTTGCACCCGATCCTGTAAACGTCGAGACAATAACAACATGTATAAAACAAGCAGCCGAAGTTAGCATTCCCAAAACAGGTGATAAACAGATTAAACGACCATTACCATGGTGGAGTCCCGAAGTAAAAAATGCAATAAAAAATAAAAAAGTGGCTTTCAGACGCTACCAGAGGGAACCGTCTATCGCTAATCATATCGAGTTTAAAAGAGCCAGAGCAGTGAGCAGACGTATTGTGTTGGAGAGCAAAAGAAATAGCTGGAATCAGTACACATCAACAATAACATCAGCACAAGATACACAGCAGGTGTGGCGCAAGATAAAAGCTATATCGGGAGGTGCTGGTTATCAGCAAATAAATTTTCTTAAAAGAGAAAACGGCGATGTTCTTGACGATGAAACTGAGATTTCTGACCTACTTGCGTGCCATTTTGCTAGCACGAGTAGCAACGATAATTATAGCCTGCAATTTGCACTACACAAAACGGAACGTGAAGTGCTTCTCGACTTTGATACGGATCATGATCTCGAGTATAATGTTCCTTTTACCATGGATGAGCTAAACTCAGCCATTGGAGAACTTAAGAACACCGCTCCAGGTCCTGATGAAGTAAGTAACGAAATGTTAGTTCATCTCACAACTCAAATAAGGTCATCTATACTAGAGCTATTTAATGACGTATGGCGCCACAGCGTATATCCGGAACAATGGAAGATGGCTACTATAATTCCAATACATAAACCCGGAAAGAATCCATTACACGCCGCAAGTTATCGACCAATAAGTTTGACTTGCTGCTTAGGTAAACTTTTGGAAAAAATCGTAAACAAAAGGCTTCAATTTTACCTTGAGAAGAACAACTTGATAGCGCCTTACCAAGCAGGTTTTAGAAAAGGCCGATCGACAATAGACCATCTAGTCGAATTAGAGAACTCGATAAGGGAAGCTCACAGGAAACGACAACACCTCGTAGCGGTATTTTTTTATATAAAGGGAGCCTACGATATGACCTGGAGGCATGGAATATTAAATAAATTGCACAAATACGGTCCGAGGGGTAACTTACCTAAATTTATTAAATCGTTTATGACCGATAGATATTTCCGGGTGCGGATAGGAAACACTTTGTCAAAAGTTCAACGCCTGGAAAACGGTGTACCGCAAGGCTCCACGCTGAGCTGTACACTGTTTTTGATTGCAATTAACGAGATTGCGGACGGAGTGGAGCCTGGTGTTTCTCGGGCTCTATATGTTGATGACTTGGCGATATATTGCTCCGGGGCCACTGTAGGCCAGATAAACGTTAAACTGCAAAATGCGATCAACAACATTGTGCGCAATGGAAGTGAAATCGGATACCAATTTTCCAGGGAAAAAACTAAATGCGTTCATTTTTGTAAATTGCGCAGACCACATTATGATCCGTCACTCTATATCGGAAATAGACCAGTTGCGTGTGTGACAGCGACAAAATTTCTGGGATTGACGTTTGATAGCAAACTAACGTGGAACGCGCATATTGAACACCTGAAAACAAAATGTATGAAAACCATGAATATCATCAAGGTATTATCGCGTACCAAATGGGGTGCTGAGGTGCAAATGCTAATAAACGTATACCGGGCCTTAGTTATGTCGCAAATCGACTATGGAGCGATTGTATATGCATCAGCCCGTAAATCGTCGCTATTACTATTAGATAGGGTGCATAATACTGGAATAAAGTATTGTTTAGGCGCGTTTCCTACCACTCCTATACACAGTCTTTATTGTGAATCGAACTTGCCTCCATTGGATACGCGAAGACAACAGCTGATGATCAATTATATGGTTAAAATAAAATCAGATCCCACTCACCCGAACAATGTTTTCCTATTTCCAGACGGAAATGTTTTTGACGCTAGGCCAACTATCCCACGACCGCTCGGGATACGGTTTAAAGAGATCCTGGGGGAACTACACGAAACAATACCTCACCTAGTGCAGAAAAACCAGTACAATTGCTACCCGTGGTTGATACCTAAAATTAAAGTAAAATTAGACCTTAAGAATCTAAACAGAAATTTAGCAACAAAGTCACAATACTTACGTCTATTTGAGGAGATCGCTAACAACTACACAAATAAAACGGTTATCTTTACTGATGGCTCGAAAAACCAACAAGGGGCGGGATCCGCCATTGTAGTTGATGGTGTGGTCCACTCCTGGGCCCTAAACCCTATAACCTCGGTGTATACTGCGGAACAGTTTGCATTATGGAAGGCTCTGGTACACATTCCCGTAGAACCTACAAATAAAACATATTTGATAGTTAGCGACTCCTTAAATGCCATAAATGCTGTAAAAGATATATACACGAGAGATCCTCTGGCTCGTTTATGCCAAGGTTGTTTGGTGGACCTGAGTGAGCATAATGTCAGACCTGTTTTTGTTTGGGTACCTGGACATTCTGGCATTAATGGAAATGAAATGGTTGATAGAGCAGCGAAAATTGCAATAACAGGTCCAAGAATTGATGAGGAGCATGTCAAAATGACGGACGTACAATGTCACCTTAAACAAAAAATAATAGAAATCTGGCAAGGCAAATGGGAAAGACAAAGTACATCCCTATCACATGTTAAACTATCGGTGAAGGAAAAACTATACCTGAAAGATTTTCGTAGAGATGAACAAATAAAGATACATCGGTTAAGATTAGGCCACACAAATGTCACGCACCAATATCTTTTGACGGGTGATCCCAGGCCGCGATGCAATACGTGTAATGTTGATCTCTCTGTGAAGCATGTAATCTGTGATTGTGTTAAGTATGTAAATCAGCGTGATAGGTTTAACCTAAAGGAAGATGTTAGAAGCAACCTTAACGAAATACCAAACTTGAAGAATGTGCTAAAGTTCCTGAAAGCAATAGGGATATACAGCAATGTATAAAAATATAAAGTTCTAAAATACTTACTTTTTACTTGGAAGGTATGTGTATGAATGGCGAGAAGACCCAAGTAGTCGAAGCCATACCTAAAAAAAAAAAAAATAATAATAATAATAATAATAATAATAATGTTTATTAGACCATTAGACCATGTAACATGATATTGATCAAGTCAATGACAGAGGTTGTGTAAAATATCACATAACTAAATAATTTGAATAAAATATAACATACATAATTGTATTACTAACGATACCAAATGTAATTAAGTACACGAATCTGACAAATACTCTTCCACTGAATAGTAACACTGGGACAATAAAAAATGCATTACCTGAAACTTAAATTGTTTATGTCGGGTTTCAGACTTGAAACGTTCTGGGAGTTTGTTAAAAAGTAATGAGCCCATATATCTCGGATTATTTTCTGACATACTTAGTCTATGCGCAGGAATGCAGAAATCCTTACCACGCCGTGTATTGTAACTGTGATTATAGTTATTAACAGAAAACTCCTTTGGATTTTCTTTTACAAACATCAGAATTTCTAGAATATATATAGCAGGAACAGGTAATAGTCCAAGTTGTCTAAATATATTTCTGCATGATGTTCTCTTCTTTACTCCCACTATAGATCTCACTACTTGCTTTTGAATTAGGAAAATCCTATGAGTTAAGTTAGATCTCCCCCAAAATAGAATACCATATTTAACTTTGCTGTAGAAATGCGCATAGTAAAAACTTAACAGCACTTTGTCACTACTAAAAGATTTTAATTTAAATATTGCATAGGCACTTGACGCTAAACTTTTGGATAAACTGTCTATATGGGTATTCCATTTCAAATTACTATCAAGATAGATGCCTAAGAATTTGGTACATTTCTCTTGAGGAATTGATTTCCTGCTTGTTTTAACTAACAGAGATTCCTTCCTTATGATCTCACGCAGATTGAAATTTATAATTAATGATTTACTAGCATTGAGAACTAACTTATTACTATTGATCCATTGAACGACACTATTTACTGAAGACTGTGCGTTCTCGACTACCTCACTCATACTATCCCCAGAAAAAAGATAACTAGTGTCATCCGCAAACATAACAATATTATCACCACTCTTGGATGTAATTGCACCAGGTAGATCGTTTATATAGTATATGAATAGTAAGGGACCCAGAACAGAACCCTGTGGTACTCAACAATATAATGGCGGAATATAATCTCTACATAGAAAACTTAGGGAAAATCAAGGGAGTGCAGTATTTTGAGCTATGTCATTCCAGGAGGGAAGTGCCATGGTTTCAGGGCCTTAACAAGTCCGTTACTTGCCTATCGGCCGTGTGTCGTTCAAGATTTTTCGTCATCCCATCATCTGGAAATTATATATTTTGACTTCATAAAGATCCATATTTTCGTAATAGTTAAAATAATAATTATCTTGATCATCGTATGCTTATGGTCACCTGTTAGCTGTTGTCATGGGCGCAACTACTTAAAAGTAAACAATTCGTTAAAAATGCGTGCTGAGAAGCTGTACGACGTTTTTCCAAAAATATGCACGAAATAGCAATATTCCTCAAGACGTATTAGCAGATTCCATGGCTGCAAGTGTCGATTTGCTACCAGAAAAAACAGGGAGCGATATCATAAAGAATACGAAGATTTCAAGTATAACGGTTTAAGATTAAGAGGATCAATTCAGTAAACGAAGACGTGTTATTAGCGTACGTAAAGGGAAAATCGGATATGTACTCGCCCAATTCATTATGGACAAAAGTTTCTTCGAAGCGATTAAAAATCACCAAACAACTATTTCAAAGTTCCGATGGAAACGCTGAAATTACAACATCCATAGCCACAGCTTCTTCATAAAGTGTAATATCCACAGGTGCTAGTGGTCCTCAAGTTTCTACGATGGTCTACAGATTTCTAGCAATAACTGTCACTTTAATTTTCATATCCATTTATTTATTTATTATTATAACTAGTTGTTTAAATTTCAATAAAACATTGTTCCTTTAACGGTCGCATATGCGTCCGTTATTTTTTAACGGACGCCGTCCGTTACGACTGACATTTCACTTGTCAAATGAGTTGAGTTAAATTGAAATAACAGTATGGGATGACGAAAACTACATAACATTATATCAGCAAGAAAACTATGTGATATGCACAGACTCCCTCAGCTTGATCTTAAGCCTAACGCAAATATACTCCAAAAATCCACTTGTCCAAGAAATTCGAAGAAAAATCCATAACCTGCCCAATTCAATAATTTTCCTATACACACCATCACATATCGGAATCCCCGGGAATGAGGATGCAGATAGAACAGCTAAACAAGCTACGACACAAAACACACCAATCACAGATTTGTTCCTGCCAAACGACCTAAAGAACCAATTTTGGAAAATCATCAACAACCAATGGCAGGAGAAATGGAATCTGACAGACGCCCATCTTAAACAAGTGAAACCCCTGACACAACCCACTTTGCCTATACCCACACAACGAAGATCTCAGGTCATAATCAACAGATTACGACTAGGACACACACGACTGACACATACCTTCGTAAATACCCGTGAAGACCCCCCTAGCTGCGACACACGCCAAACAAGATTGACAGTCGAACACCTTCTCATCCATCCGAGGCCTAACTACTCTTAAGGATTTCAAGATATTTGGTTCGTTAAAATGATTTAGAAAACTGACAAACTAGGTTTATTTATTAAAATTTTTTCTCTAATGGCGATCGATTTCGGGAATATACCCATCATCAGGCCGTGCGTTAAGTGGTATGCAGAAATTATAGATGATGGGTATATTCTCGAAATCGATCGCCTTTAGAGAAAAAAATTTTAATAAATAAACCTAGTTTGTCAGTTTTCTAAATCATTTTATCATTCAACAAACTACAAAATGGAGACCTTCATTCAACGAATTTGGTTCGTTCTTTTTGCATTCGGAATCTTATAGCTCTGGTACATACCTCAACCAAGAAAAATCTTGACGATTAATATGCGCAGACTGCGCAATGTCAACTTCCATTTATAGAGATATTTTTTTGAAATTTTTATCAAAGATTCTTTTAGTAAACACAAGCATATCGCATATTGTAAAAATCAGATGTGGGCATGCGCAATGTCATTTTTCTTATTTATCAAGATATTTTTTTGAAACTTGAACCAAAAATCTTCTAGTAAAGGCAAACATATCGGATATTTTAAACATCACGTGAGCGCATGCATGGATTGCGCAGTGCTAAGTTTCTTATTTAAGAATATTTATGGCTTAACTTATTTTCGTTGGTACACATAACGTATATAGTCCGTTACATGACTTTTCGGGAAGTAGGTACTGATCAATTCATTGAAATAGTATATTTCATTACGAGTCGGAAAAGCAGGCTTTTTCCGTGCGCGCGTGACAAATTCATTCAAAAAAGTCATGCAAGCACGGAAAAAGCATTTCTGGACATGTAATGAACGATATTTTTTATTATACTGTAAATTTGTATTGTAAGCAATATTTTGGGTATTTATATTCAGCGCACCGAAAGAATCAAAGTGACCGGGAAACGTTTTTCCGTGCGCTAGCCTGGAAAAGGCCAGATACCATTATTTAGGTGTAAATAAGGTGATTTCAATGAAGTATAATAAAAATGTACTAAAGTTACTTGCTATAAGGCGAAAACCTTTTATTTATTTTTTTTCAATTTAGTGCCAACTCCTTCCACTATTTCTCCAGAATGAACCTATTATGGTGGTTTTTGTCATTTTGGTTCGATAATGGAGGCCTGACAAAAATTTCACTGATTAAAAGTTCTACACCCATACTCGACAAAAACGAAGTAAATGCGTGCAGAGATTATCGACGCTATTATCATTGGTCGGTGGACGGTGACTTAAGAATGATTAACGCACTGCTCCAATATAAACGGACCTATGCTAAGTACATTTACACTTCTTCGCTTCGCTACTATCGACGCTTTTATCATTTATCGCGGCTCCAACATAAACGCACCCTTAGGTAAGTAGAGCATGTAAACACGTTGCATCTCTTTAATTCCTGCCATTTTATAATCGCAAGTGCATTTAGACGGAGAGCTGGCTACGGAAAAAAGTGACTTATCGCTACATGGCTAATTTTTTGTGTAAAGTATGCTGATACATAGTGAAGTAGAAAAAGTCACGTCTGCCAGCGAGAAGCTCTACAAAAAAGTCTATAACAATTTTTTTGTGAGTTTCTTAGTTTTTGAGAAATTTTAAATTGAACGCAGTTAAACACTTCATTTTATAATTTTTCTAAATTTGCACTTTTCTCAGAAAGTAAGCTTCATAGCGGAAAATGTTAAATATAAAAAAGAAGTGCCTTGATGAGCTCTACAGAAAAGTGTCATCAATTTTTTGCGTCAGATTCAAAATAAAGACGCCAGAGGTAAATATAGTCGGAATATCGGCAGTTTTATTAAAATTTGACATATTTAACCGCCCCTCCCAACCTTAAGCCACGGGATCTCTCTGGCAGACATGACTTTTTCTACTTCACTATATATTCTAATCGATACTTTACACAAAAAATCAGCCATGTAGCGATAAGTCACTTTTTTCCGTAGC